TAATTCACTCACTCACTCGCTGTACAGAAACACAACAGCAAGCAAAGCTCTCCTTCTGCATTCAAATATGTTTAGTCTTATCAACACTTCATCTGCAGACCCATGCATGACTGTATGTGAGTAGGGGCGATGGGTAGCCTTGTGGTTAAAGTGTTCGCTCGTCACGCCGAAGACACTGGTTCGATTTCCCACATTGGTACAATCTGTGAAGCCCATTTCCGTGACGAGCGAACGCTTTAACCACAAGGCTACCCCACCGCCCCTAATCAGAATAGGAATATATCAACTATACCCATACACGTTGTTAGTACTTCATGAGATCAACCATAAAAGTTTGCGGATTCTAGGGTAGACTAGATCAGGTACCCGAATCTTATCGAATGAGAGGGATAGGTGGCTAATGGTGTTTGACTGGCTCCTCGTGCGTATGATACATCGCACCAGTGAGTTGCTTCTGCCATCAACCATGACTCCATTGTTTACAGGTCTGTGTCACATTTATAATATTGCTGCCCACGCCGTAAAATAACATTCACTGACTCACTCACCAGCTCGAATTGCCACCCCACCCCACCCCACCCCACCCCCTACACCAAAGACCATTGTATTCTCCTTGAATAGGTAAAGTTCCAACCGATTGTTTCATATTATCTGTCATGCCATACTGAAAGAAGTAAGGGCCACCCGATTCCTCATATTACAACAGTTAATTGCATGACAGTTTAATGAAACAGGGGCGGTCGGGTAGCCTAGTGGTTAAAGCGTTCGCTCGTCACGCCGAAGACCCGGGTTCGATTCCCGACATGGGTACAATGTGTGAAGCCCATTTCTGGTGTCCCCCGCCATGATATTGCTGGAATATTGCTAAAAGCGGCGTAAAACCATACTCACTCACTCACTTTAATGAAACAATCGGGTGGTCCTTAACTTCTTGTGAGTAGTATATGAAACATTACAACGAACATGACATTTCACAATAGAAACCGTCAACATCACGTACGTTAACATAATGTAAAATGTCGTCGAAAATCCACTCCAGAAGGATATGAAAGTTTCAATGCTTCAATGGCTAGTCCCACGGCAAAACATTGTGAAAGAGGGATGAGTGTACAACACACCTTCCCGCCCACGCGCCCTACATCGGAAATACTTAATGACAAATGCTTACCTGTGTTAAATATACATATGTGGGTTATATATGCCATTACTGTATGTACGAAACACCCTAAAATCTACCGCTGTTGTCTGGTGCACAATAGTGCCCTTGAGATAGGAGTGTTCAATGTCAAATGCACCTATGACCCTACTCTTGACGGTAATGCTGCAGCATTTTTAGCGTGTCTTGTAATATCTCATTTTAATACCTACAACAAATCAGTTCGCTGGAATAGCACACCGCGATTCAAGAGGGGTGTATATGTATATGTATAAGTTGATTGTATTGAGGTATGGTTATTCTTTGAACAAAGTGCCACAAATACCATCAATAAATCACTGTCTGTCATATTTACAGTCTCTTAGACTAACACACAGTCTATGAAAAAACTCTTTCTAATAATTGTATTTGTTTTATGATTGGTGTCTACTTTGCTTAGAGGATTAACAGTGCGGTTCCATATCAAGCGATATGACTTTCGTTCGGAAAGCAGAGCAGAGACCTGAGCGTGTGTTTCTTGGAGACCATAGTCATATTTAGGACATATGTTGGCTTTGTAATATAGACAAAACCATTTACAGAGCCGAATAGTGGAAACCATTTTCTATTGTCTGGTTCTGATCTGCGTGCTGTTACTGTTGTATATGAAATAGATACATTTTCACGGGTGATGAATTCAACAGATTATTCGCAATAAAGTAAAGTATAACTTATGAAACCCCTATCTATAACATCTGTAATTTTACGTAGGCTCTGTATCATTTTATAAGGAATGAAAAGGTCATTTTAAAAAATGGGCAGCCGATGAACATTTCTATGTGGGGGCTCATGAACATTTCTATATGGGAAGCCCATGAGCCTTTATATTAAGCCGCTCGTGAACACTTCTATTTGGCAGCTCATGAACATTTATCTTTTGGGAGCTCAAGTAAGTTCAAAGTGGACAGCTCATGAACCGTTTTATTTAGGCAGCTCATGAACATTTCTTTCTCTACGTCAGCTCATGAACATTTCTCTCTCTATGTCAGCTCATGAAAATTTCTTTCTCTATGTCAGCTCATGAACATTTCTCTCTCTATGTCAGCTCATGAACATTTCTTTCTCTATGTCAGCTCATGAACATTTCTCTCTTTATGTCAGCTCATGAACATTTCTTTCTCTATGTCAGCTCATGATCATTTCTCTCTCTATGTCAGCTCATGAACATTTCTTTCTCTATGTCAGCTCATGAACATTTCTCTCTCTATGTCAGCTCATGAACTTTTCTTTCTCTATGTCAGCTCATGAACATTTCTCTCTCTATGTCAGCTCATGAACATTTCTTTCTCTATGTCAGCTCATGAACATTTCTCTCTCTATGTCAGCTCATGAACTTTTCTTTCTCTATGTCAGCTCATGAACATTTCTCTCTCTATGTCAGCTCATGAACATTTCTTTCTCTATGTCAGCTCATGAACATTTCTCTCTCTATGTCAGCTCATGAACATTTCTTTCTCTATGTCAGCTCATAAACATTTCTCTCTCTATGTCAGCTCACGAACATTTCTTTCAACCGATAAGAACTGATACGGAGCTGCTGAGATGATCTGTTCCTCGCCAAGGCCACCATCAGCACTATAAATAAATTTGGGTTATGTTCATTGTCTGCACATGGCAGGTGACGATACAAACTTAATATGGCATGTATGGTTCAATATAGACACATGTGTATAACGTATGGAGTTGCATGTATATATGTGTTAAGTACAGAAGTACATGTAATCTGATAGCACGGTAGCTATGCGTGGAGAGGAAAGCACTCACGTGTATTTACATAATATTACAAGACGACTGGAGGGGTGTATAGTTATCTCGTGCCTTTACACAACATGCTGTCTGATAAGAAGATTAACAGTCACCTCGGCCGTCCCAGTGGTGCTGGGGGGGCGGAGGGTGTCAGAGTGGGGAACGGCGTTAATTAGCGAGTACATCACCTGTTTGTTGACGGGGGGAACGCGGGGGTGATAGGCATTCCCTTGTAATCGGATCTACCACCGACTGTCAAGGAGACTGGGAGCGCGGAGCGTCATGACCTTCTTTGGAGCCAAGGAAGACGGACGGGACTCCTACTGCAAAAGTACATCATCCGTTGTCCAGTCCTTTTGTACTGAATTGATCAAAATGTGGCCCCATTGACATCCATGTATATCTTTGAGGCAATATTATACCTTGCCAAAAAGGGGGACTTCATACGGAAATTGACACTCCATCATAAACAGCACGAACGCTGTTTGTCACATGTATTAAGTCACGGATAGAGCCTGATAGATCTGACAGTAACCTTTAAGAGTTTAAAAAAACTTATGTAAACAATATCCATTTCAATCACCTTGATATTCGTGCATGTACACAATTCTGATATTCAAAATGTCATCTTGATTGAAGACAGATCGAATGTATATCTTAAGCGGTTATATGCTGTATAGTGATACGACAATTATACACCTTCCAGAAATAGTTAATTACGTGTAATCTTTATTGACCCCTTCGCCCTGAAATGAACATCGTCAGCCTATACGCCCAGCATTGTAAATGTCATACACTCCTGCTATTGACAACGCATGGCCCGGTGACGGCGTAATGACTGACAAAATGTCAATACTTTACTATTTCCGCTCGTTTAACGGTTGAAAGAGACACAACTGCAGTACGTTCGTGATGTGTAAGCGCTTATTCCGTTTTTGGATTGTTGTTCAACGCCTCAGTTAGCTATATATCAGAGCCGTACAACTCGATCTTCTTTAGGCCTCTCTTATATATCAAACATGGAATCTGTTCTTACCTTAATGACCACAAGTTTGATGATTTGACCATCGTATTACCACATGACATCATTTTATGGTAATAATATCTGTGAAATATACGTTACATCATCATGCTTCTCTTACATAAACTTCATATTTTAATATTGTACATTTAAATCAAATACTCTTCTGATAACAGAAATCGTTCACCCATGTTTCATGGAAATAAATGGACACATATCTTAATAAGTTTACATAAGTTTACTTTGTTTAGTACACATCCATAATATCATGCTACACTCAACAATATTCCAGCAAAATTACCAGACAAACCAGTTGATGACAGCTTGAAAAACGAATTGCGCCATCGGGCTCAATAACAGGCAGTCCGCCAAGTTACCAAGGCTAGTTACCCAAACCCCTTTAGTATGCTCTTACAAACATGCGGTACTCGGGATATATTCTTCCTCGAAATCCTCATATTGCAGGAACATTGCTCTTTGCAGTATAACGCCATTCCAACTCAAAACAACACAACACCATATAACGTGATTATATTACAGTTAAGGAGGCGGCGGGGTAGCCTTGTGGTTGAAGCGTTCGCTCGTCAAGCCGATGCTCGGGTTCGATTCCCTAAATGAGTTCAGTGTGTGAAGCCCATTTCTGGTGACCCCTTTCGTGATATTGCTGGATTATTGCTACAAGCGGCTCCAATCAAACTCACTCACTCACAAATGGTCCAGTAATACTCATTCCAGGATGTGTAGCAACACCCAATACATAGCCTTGCTCCAAGGCTGTACTTAAGGAAAAATCCATGGATGTTTAGTAATTCTATCCTCCTTATAGGCAAGTCTAGTATGTGAACAGTACAGACTCCAGTCTCTTACAGGGACAACTTGGTGTTATTATTTACATAATCTAGATATTATGATTTAAACTAAAAATTATTGCTTTAGAGACTTGTGCAAGTCTACCCAACACACTACACTGCGATTATACTTAACACGTGGACACTGGTTTAAAGGCATGATGAATTCAACTGGAGATCTTTCTTTCAGAGTTCACTACTCGTTACTATCTCCCCATGGACCAACTGAACGGCCGTGATCTCTGGAACCCCTCCGGTCTGGACTCAAGAGTCTATGGAGGCCCGGATCTGATCCAAGGTGCTATCAAGAAGGCGATCCGACTGAATGGACGCACACAGTATATCCGAGTTACTGGCCCTGGTCACAAGCGCGAGTGCTTTGGCAACTTGAAGGAATGCTTTACAGGTTAGTACTGGACGAGTTGTCTCCCTTAGACGTCAACTTGCTCCGACCTCACTGTCGCTGTTTTGTTAATTCAGTTCAAATACAGTTGAAAGACTTTTGGATTATCATTATCATACGATATAGTCTCAAACGTTGTGTTTACACGTGGTGTCGTATAAATCATAATCATAATAATTTAACCTTTTTTATTGTCTTAATGGCCATACCAATGAGATGTTATATATATATTGGGGGTACGGTTGGCCCAGTCGTCTAAGGCGCCGCGACTCGCTATGCAAAGTTGCGTCCCTTGGGCACGCCAGGAACCTATGATTGTGGGTTCGAATCCCGGTTTGCCCCGATTATGTTTCTATGTTTGTCAGCACCATACCCGTGCTCGTGGGTTTCACCGAAGTGGTAAACGTCTGAGACCTGCATCACTTCGGGCTTTCCTTCTACATTAAGCTGACACGCCGCGATGTTACTGGAATACTGTTAAAAGCGGCGTTAAACCCAACTCACTCACTCACTCACTTATATATATATATTAATGTTAAACATCAGGGGAGCTCAAGTTTCATATTCTCAGTTCTCTATGCTGAAATTGTAAGAAATGCTGAAATTGTAAGATATGCTAAAATACCTTTGTGTGTAGCCTATTGGTGAAAGCGTTCGCCCGTCACGGTACAGAGGAGGTTCGATCCCACGGGAACTCTGTAATATTGCTAGAATAAGGTATCATTAATATCTATCGCTAAACACGTGTAATGATAATGCCATTTCGTCTCGGCGAAATAAACAGCAGCCGTCGAGTCTGTTATCCTTACCACCCACATATAAACTACAAGGAAAATGTGTGGACATTGTTGTGAAAGCTATCAGGTGTGTTCATATGAGGTTTTTAGAAAGCATTTTTAACAGCTGACCTAGGCATGGTAGTTGGTAGTTGGACATGCTGATAGAATTTCTCTTGAAGTTCGAAAAATCACTTGTTCACTCATTACAGCCAATCTTGTGTAGTTTATCATGTCAGAAGTCTAATACCCTTTGAGTGAGTGATTGGGTTGGGTTAAACGCCACTTTGAACAATATTCCAGTTATATCACGGCGTGTCAAATTAATGTGGGAGGAAAGCCCGAAGTGATGCAGGTCTTAGACGTTTACCACTTTGGTGAAACCCACGAGCACGGGTATGGTGCCGACAAACCTAGAAACATAATCGGGGCAACCGGGATTCGAACCGATCACGGGTTTCTGGCGCAACCAAGGATCGCAACTCTGCCCAGCCAATTTGCGGCGCCTTAGACGACTGGGCACCCGTGCCCCCGTGTCCATTTGATCACACATCTGATATTTGCGTTATGCTAATCCTGCAAAGACTTCTGTATCTTTGTAATTGGACAGTGGGACAATAAGAACCCTCATCCTTCATCGCTCCTTACCATACCTTCCCAATAACCTGCAGCTGATTTTAAAATGAAATCTGTGTTCAGGGTACTATCTTGGAATGTGGCTTAAGTTCGAGGGCGTTGGCAACAGGCGTGGCGTGTACCTCTCCAACGGCGGCCACAGAACGGACGGCCACGGCATCGCCATGTACTACTCCAAGGGTAAGCTGGAGTACGTCTTCAAGAAGCCCGACGGCAACGAGTGGACAGTAATGTACGACAACCTGCTAGAAGGACGCTGGTACCACGTGGCTGCGTCTTGGTCGGACTCTATTGGACTTGTACTGCACATCAACGGAGAGCAGGTCGCCCATGATACGAAGCCCACGCGAAGATCTCCGGCCAGGTCGGATTCCCGTTATAACGACTTCGTCATCGGTCGGGCTAACGACAGGACGGGGACGGATCGATTGGGTGTCATGACAGTGGATGAAGTGTTCTTTATGTCGATGTACAGGACCTTGAAAGAGATTCGAGAAACCGGTAAGTCCAAAAGGACTGTAGGCATGAAGGAAAAGTATGTATTTCTGATCCGCGCTTTAGTACACATCAATCACTCGAACCTTGTTATTCGCAACGCGGTTGTACCGAATAGGTCACCTCGAGGTCTCCACATTGCATCCATGATAGCGATGATCATATCTAAAGATCGGATAGCCCAGTGATTCCCTACACTTAAGTCCATTTCCTGGTGTTCCCATCTGCTGACTTATTTCTATTTCAACGCCACGTAAAATCATACTCATTCGCTCTAGGAATATGACACTTTGTACGTGACATTCATTGATTGATTGATTGATTGATTGATTGATTGATTGATTGATTTTCTGAAAGGGTACGTAAGAACTTCAAAGTATATCTATTTCTGCCACCTTTTTAATCGTAGCCTATGTGTTGTTTTAATGTTTGGCTTAATTTGTCAGCCATCGCCAAGGACTGAAGAGATGATATAAATCCTTCTAGGGTCCATGCAGGTACCCAAGTGCTGTAAGTCCCCATGGTCCCCAGTGTGGTGATCTGCCTTCAGTTGTTAGCGATCTATAGCCCCATTTTATATTGTGTTTATTTATTTATTTATTTATTTATTTATTTATTTATTTATTTATTGTTTGTTTGTTTGTTTGTTTGTTTGTTTGTTTGTCTGTTCTCTAACCTTAAACAATGACAATAATAAACACTTTACTTATTCAGGTCCATTCTACAAATACAATCTCAACTTCGACAGACTACAGGGTGATCGAATTTCCACCCCTACGACTGAGGCGATGGTGAGCGCGGGGGTGCGGCTGGTCCCTGGGAGGGTGGGGAGTGCTGTCAACCTGAGAGGTGGGTCTGATTATGTGGACCTGGGGGATGTACACGGACTGTGCATGGGGGACCTCTCTAACTGCCGCTATGGGTTCTACGCGTCAATGTGGGTTTCATTCACTCGACTTGACAGCAACACACGTTATCTGATGTCGTCGCCAAAAGGTGTCAACGTCTTCTACACCGACAACCGCCTCCACGCCACCGCCTCCATGTTCGACAGATTCTGGGAGACGTACTACCAGGTAAGGGAGATAACTCTGTCATAACTGACCTTCAGTAAACCATGCTTGTCGGCTAGTCGGGATCGATGACTTGATGCATATTTTCGTATCTCAAATGCGGAGATCGATATCAATCACTGGATTGTCTGGTCCAGACAAATCATTATCATGTTGCAATTTCAGGGCATCACTGCAGGCGTCTGGTATTTCCTGGAAGTCTCTTGGTCCAGAGAGATGGGTATCACCCTTTATCTGAACGGAGTGCGGGTCGCTAGCCAACTCACTGATAAACATAAGAGCATGCAGACCACCGACGACAAGAAGTTTTACCTGGGCCGGGCCAATAACCCCGAGAGTTGGCAGCGGGCAGCTAATGTTGCTATTGACAACTTCGAGGCATTCTATGCTGACAGAGACAAGTTACTCGATGTTGGCTTCATTGAAAGAGGTGGGTGAAGGCACATTTTAAAGAAATTTAAAAAATAAAATTGTATATCCTTTTTTTCGCCGGACGAAATGTTAGCACATAGGGTAAACACCTGGAAATAACCGTTGACCTAACCAATGAGATGAATACCAAACTGAATATGAACTGTGTAAAATCAGTTTTTGCAAGAACTATCATTATAGTTATAACCTAGACACAAACGATGACGTTATCATTCAAACTTGTTCGAGACTTACACTCAACTAAATCTGAATTGTGTAATCTGTCACGTGGAACACATATTTATATTTATTACCATTTGAAACCTCGATGAATGATGAATCAATTAAAATCTATTTATTCTGAATATGATATGATATATGATATGATATATGATATGATATGATATATGATATGATATATGATATGATATATGATATATGATATGATATATGATATGATATATGATATGATATGATATATGATATGATATATGATATGATATATGATATGATATGATATGTGTGTATCATTTACTCTTTCAATTTAGTTGCTTTTGCAAATCCGACACACCCAGAAACCTTAATATAAAAGGTTTTGACAGAAGTGATTACTTGTATTGCAGTGCGCCCAGTTGTTTACAAGTTCCCATTGGAAAATATTGACGGAAATCGTATCCGCCACCCGTCCATGGTCGTACGAACCTATGGGAATCCGGATCTTGTTCCTGGCAAGCTTGGCAACGCTATTGAACTGGATGGTCGGGCCCAGTACGTCGACTTCGGCGACCACGCCAACACGTGCTTCGGCAACTTGGACAACTGTATCCACGGCGCCACCATCGCCTTGTGGATGAAGCCCGAGAAGTTCCAGAGGGACGCCTACTACTTCTCCACCGGCGGGAACGGCATTACCATGTGGTACAAGAACAAACGCCTCTACGTCTCCGCAATGACCTCCACGAACACCTGGGAGTTGTCGACAGATGCTGTGGATCCCAAGATGTGGAACCATCTCGAGGTGTCCTGGTCTGAACAGAATGGACTCCGCCTGTTCTCGGACAACCAATTGGTGGCTTCCTCTGACCAGCGGAAGCCAAGGTCATCCGCCAGTGGAAGTGACAGTGGCCGTGTGTACCTCGGGAGGGGTAACATAGACATGAGCTCGGCCAAATACGGTGCGGGGCAATTTGATGAAATGGAATACTGGTACTCCGATAGGGACTACCTGTCTGCCTTTGGCTACATCCACCGAGGTGAGTGAGGCATAACACTCTCAAAGTCTATTCATGCACCAACAAAGACAAATCTAGCACTTATGTATGGTGGCCCTATTTCACAAAGTGAACGCTACTCTAAGTTTATACTTTAACATGTCCATTCGCAATCGCAGGACTATGGTACGGACAATATCATACTATGTCTTTGAGCTGTGGAAGAAATATACTTTGTCTCTTACAAAAGAATCCCAGCCCACACCCTTATTTGAAATGGTGGGTTCCTAAGATCGCTTTGAGGAAACGTACCCAGGGTCCTAGGATCCATCTTATAATTATGATAGCAATGCTCAATACTTAGAGTCAGTGAATGAGTATGGCGTTACGCCGCCCTCATTCCAGCAATATCACGGCGTGGATCACCAAAAATGGGCATCACACATTGTACCCATGTGGAATCGAACCCAGGTGATGAGCGATGGCTTTACTACCATGTTATCCCACCGCCCTCACGCAATATCGGGTACAATGTTCACGTTATTATTGAATATCACATATTTGCATAATTATATTACCTTTAATCCCTTAACATGTGTCCTGAATATGATTCATATTGGTAATTTTATGTCTTTTAGGTAAACCAAAGAATTACATTATCGATATGGAAGAAATCCAAGGTAATCGTCTTGTCCACGCCTCTCTGCCAATCCGTGTTGTCGGTAACGCCCGTCTCATCCCCGGTAAAGTCGGCAACGCCCTGGAACTCCGTGGTGGCAGCCAGTTCCTGGATGTAGGAGACCAATCTGACGAGTGTATGGGGAACCTTAAGAAGTGTCTTCAGGGAATCACGGTATCAGCCTGGATCCGGTTCAATAGGTGAGGAGAGCTGTCCCTACCTCATGAGCGAGGGAACTGAGTCAAACAATAATTTAGTAAATCGCGCTGGAAATGAAAGGTTAGGATGGTAAGGTCTGGTCGGATCTATGTGGGGTGAGTGAGTTTAAACGCCACTTTGAACAGTTCAGTTACATCACGGTGTGTCAGCTTAATGTGGGGTGAAAGCCCGAAGTGATGCAGTTTCAGACTTTAGACCTGCCGGCAAAGCATGAAACATTACCATGGCGAACCGGGATTCGAACGCAAGACCATTGGTTTCCGGATCGCCCTCTGTACAGAGAATTGCTGTAACTGGGCAACCAGTCTCCATGGAACATGTAGGGGGAGATGGTGGTAAACGTCTCGGTACACAATCGTCTCGAAACCTCTGTCACTATTATTTTGAAGTCACCTTAGTCATTGGTTCACATGAGAAAATTCTTGTTGCTCTAATCTGAACAAAATTGCAAGTAACAGCGATTTTGGTTCTTGTTGTCACTTGTTATTATTATCCGCAGTACAACACACAATACTGCAAAAAGTTGACACCTTGGTTTCTTAAAAAAAAACGCCCTGTCGTAATCGGACACGACATTAGCATCCCAAAACTTTTCGACCAGTTTTATGGGTGTGACGGTGATGATAACAAAACTGTTTGTGGTGACTTCATGTTACATAAAGCAGCGTATAATAGATGTGTTGATTAAACTGATGAAGTAATAACTTTCTGTATCGGACATGTCTACAGGTTCATCACACATTAAAGTTTCAATCAAACTGTCAACATATTCTTCCTATAGATTCGAGAACAACATGGTTTTCCTGTCTACTGGTCGTCACGGCCTCGTTCTGGTTTCCCGTAATGGCTACCTGTACGCCAGCGCCAAAGGTGGTTCGGAAGTATCAATCCCTTACCCCCAAAAGGGCCGATGGTACTACACCGAGATCTCCTGGTCACCTGACCACGGCCTGGAGTTCTACCTCGACAATAAACTAGTCGCCAGTGACCCGGATGCAAAGCTTGAAGACATTAACATTCGTTACCCCGGAAGTTTCTTCGTTGGCCGTGGTAACCATGGTGATACACCAAGCGGAGGAACTACTACTGGCGGGAATTTTGATATTGACGAGCTTGAAGTATTATATGGCCGCCGAGATGACCTATTAGCAATGGGTTACATCGACAGACGTAAGTCTAATGTTAGACGCTGAAACTAATTTGAAGTATAGTCAGCCTACTAACGCTATGCTTGTAATAACAGTACCAATATAGGACTGCAATGTGACTTTGCGGCCTGTAGATATAGGACTATCACTAACAATAACTCAAATACGAACAATGTTATTTATTTTCGTAATTGAGACAACGATAATTAATTTATCATGCACAACCTTTAGAATTCACTGATTCATTTCAGAAAAAAAATCTAATCCGATCATAATAATGATTGCTTTAAGGATAAATATCTAAAGTTTAAGTTCTGAAATATAAGATAGTGTGCATTATAATCATTCGTACACGACATTAATCAAATCAGGAAACACTGTGTTTCAATCGGAAACACTGTATCCACACTGAACCAAATCAGATCATACCTATCATAAAGGATTTACCTGGGTACAACTGTGTTCAATTCCGGTCCACTCAGTTATTATTTCGGGGTCCAAGGAATGGACCTTGGTGTTCCAAGTTGACGACAAGTGGCTTCACCTGATTTCCACAAATTGCATTGATGCCTCATCATTGTCCATGGTCAGACGCCTTTAGGCTAAAGGCTCATTTCAATGTCAGAATGTCAACCATTGCCACTTTGAACTTCGATTAATTTTCTCACCAGAAAAGAATGTCAGTTATATGTAACATGCTGTTTAAAATTTTCAATAGTTTAATTGCTTCAAACAGACAATTCTTGCGTTACCATGATTCGTAATGTAAAATTATTTCCTCTGTTAATATTGTCTGTTGGTTCAGTGTGGTGTTAGGTATCTATGGCATACACTGGCATAGACTCATCTCATGTTCCAGCTTTCATTGCTTCTTCATAACACTGCTTCATAGATATCAATGCTACTCATACTAGTGCCATACTATAGGTGCAGGGGGCTGACTGCAACCTTGCACCCACCTTCTACACTACTGTTCAAAACGAAGCTGCTCTCAGTCGCGAACCTGGCTTGCTGAAGGATACCGACCTGATCAGGATCACTGTGGTGACCCGCTGGCGATTTAGGGGTAGTCAGTTTTGGGTGGTATATTTCGCGACGCTGGGTCCATATTGGAATTGACGAGCTTCAGTAGATATTCGACTTTGCTGTTGAAGCATTGCCATTGAGTGCGGGAATGAGTAAGATTTATCGCCGCTTTGGACAATAATTCTTTATCTCACGGCATGTCATCTAAATGTGGAGACGAAAGCCTGAAATGGTGAAGGCCTAAGACGTTCACAACTTTGGCGAAACTGAATATCACAATTATGGCGAATCTGGGATTCGAACCCATGATAATAGGTTTCTGGGGAACTTCTGGCTGGCCATCTTCCCGAGGCAAGTGAGTTAACTGACTATAAAAGTCCAGTTTCCACCCTTGCCGAACTAGGCTGGTATTATGGAGTTACATTTTGGCTGGACTAACGAGTTTATGCATAGTCCAATCAAAATCGCGCACCGAAATCGAAATCCGGTTCGTAAAGTGTCGTGCAGATTTCGGGATTTGCAAAGCATGTGCACCGCTAACTCGTTGTCAACAGATATTTTCTAAATCTTTTCATGTTTTTAATCAAGGTGCTCACGTGATTTGATGCACTTCGCGATGTAAGACTCGTTTTATCACAATATAGATCTTGATTATCGATCAGATCGTCTTGACTGGGCGCCACCGTTTTGTTTGAAGCAAATGCGAGTGATACGAGAGGTGGAATCTGATTGGTCAATAGGAGAGGCATAGAAGGGGCATAACTCGTAATAGCCACTGGTGGCGCTACGATCGAGCCCAGTAATTCCAGCCTAGTTCGGCAAGGGTGGAAACTGGACTTTTAAAGTCAGTTAACTCACTTGCCTCGGGAAGATGCTGGCTGGCTGTCTTGACGACTGGGGCCCTTCATCATTCAGGACACTTGTATAAATCATATCAAAGTTTTCAGATAATCTCAATGACCATATACGCTTCCATTAATGCGGTCATACTTAGAACTTACTTCTTCCATACACACTACACGAATATTTTCACCAAAACTGAATACCGTTATTCGCGAATTTAATTAGAGTACGTTCGTAATTCATTTACATTTGTGTTTAAGTATTGATTACACATGTATGTGCATTTGAAAAAGAAGTATGCTGAAACAAGTACTGATGCGGGTGGAGACATCTGTACTGCTGTCAAATCGAAACGAACCTCCTTAATATATGTAAAATAGGTATCTAGCAGCCTCGAAGCTGTGACCTGCCGACAGAAGATTCAATCCGACCCGTAAGATCCGGGGTAGAATAGGTCTTCAGCAACCCATACTTGCCGTAAAAGGCGACTATGCTTGTCGTAAGAGGCGTCTAATGGGATCGGGTGGTCAGGCTCGCTGACTCGGTTGATGCATGTCACCGTATCCCAATTGCGTGGAACGATGCTCATGATGTCAATCACTGGGTTTTCTGGTCAACGCTCGATTATTTACAGACCGCCGTCATGTAGCTAGAATATTGCTGAGTGTGGCGTTAAACAACAAACAAACAAACAATCCATCCCAAATGATGTGTGCGCAATGTTAACTCTACTAGTCTCTTGTTCAGCTGCTCGATAACACCTATAAGAATCTGTTGACCTCATAACCTCATTACTCTCTCATCAGGGGCGGTCGGGTAGCCCAGTGGTTAAAGCGTTCGCTCATCACGCCGAAGACCCGGGTTTGATTCCCGACATGGGTACAATGTGTGAAGCCCATTTCTGGTGTCCCCAGCCGTGATATTGCTGGAATATTGCTAAAAGCGGCGTAAAACCATACTCACTCACTCACTCTCATCAGTTATCATCGCAAGAATGTGGATTCTGCTTCAGGAATATTCACAGACTTTTTTCACCTATTACCCCCGACAAGGACATCTAAGCCTTCCTGATTCGCATTAGATATATTTACCCGTTCATTAAACATAATCAGTGCCACTACTAGCTCAAAATTGCTGACTCGGCGTTTTAAACATACCTTCACTCATTCATCCACCCTGAACAACAGAGAAATTGTTTCAGCTGTCGATGTACCTACCCAGTCAGGTACCTACATTGTTAATGCATCATAACTGCGCATGCTCAGTAGAACTGCTGTGACCCAGCATGGAGTGACCTACTAAATTCTAATAGCTGCTGATATTCTTGCCGAAGACCTATCTCGACCGTCAATATCGCTAACGAAGCTGTAATTCTGTCAGATTAGCAGTAGTTATTCTTGTACCTTCAGTTTCAAAGAGCCTTGAGTAGACGTTGTGTTATTAAGATACAATGTAACTGTGTAGCGCGGCTTAATTACAGTACGTTCTGTACTCTAAACCTCACTGCATGCATCACAGAGCTAAACATTAGGGCTTAGAAACTAAGGTTGATGTTGTATTAAACCTAGACTAGCCACAACACAATCGTATCAATACACTAATACCTAATATAATGTTATTCTAGTATATATTTCTATTGTTATACAAGATAAATATCACAAACCTATATCACATATCTATATTTAATAACCTGAATGATTTCAATAACAATAGACAAGATCTGTATCTCACTGATATTTTCCAATATATGTATATATACTCTCTGTATAAATGTATGGTTAAAACAATGATTATTCGTGTAGCATAGGGTCTTTATTATGCAGTGCTGAAAGAGTATTCTCTGGCGTTCAGGTTTCAAGTTAACACTATGTATTTCCTATTGCCTCTATTCTTCTTGCTGATTTTAATGCCCCTAAAAGCTTTGGTTCCACAGCTCCATGGGGAAAGTCTCAGAGTAGTGTATCTGCTTAGGCCTGGGTAATGCTCTGTCTCACTAGAAACGCATGCATTCCTCTCTTAAACCTTTTGACACCCTTTAAAACCTTTTTGGTATGTTTTGATAGTTTAAAATCAATATGTGCTCTAACCCAAATTTTGGATTGATTTTGGATAACATATTCCTTTTTATTTATTTTTATTTACTGTAATTGATAAAAGAATGAGGATACACATCTTAAAACGTCAAGCCTGAAACAGTATAGAATGGAACCTCTTCATTCTGGACACTTTTCTAACCGGACAGTTACTCTTGGGGACATCTGGATAGACATACATGTATATATTCAAAGGGACATTGCACTGTTAGCAGACAAGCAATGAAATAATCCAGGTGATTTCGTCGGGAAAGGTACAGTCCGAATTAACGGGGTTCCACTGTACACGAGTTCTGTCCTCGGAAAAACGTTTTAAATGTTTTCAAATTATTATTATTATTTTAAGCAATGTACAGATGTTTTCGACGTTTTGTTTTGGCGCTACCTCTTCTTTTATTTATGTTATGTGCTTGCGTTATTATGTTATTTAACTTGAACATATTTATTTCTCAATGAATGCAACCATATTAACAATATTAGACATGTCCTTCTTTGCAAAATAATGCTAAAAGCAAGAGAAAAGTTTTGGCCGTGAAAGCTAAAGGGAAGCAACTCTTGCACGACGAGTTTATACTTGTACGTCGCTTCAATCACTAACTGAACTCGCTTTAAGCTTGTGAGGATGGCCTTAAACAAAACGAAAAGTAAGGCTCGAGTAAATGTTTTATATCTTTATTAATTGTTTGTTATACTGCCTTGCCTTAGTCATAGCTAGTTAAACAATGTTTTGTTTATTTTCATTGTTGTGCTGTGTTTTGTTTTGTGTGTGTTTGCATGTCTATTTTGACCTGTTTGATGCCTTCTGTGGCCTTGAGTTTTTATATATTATCTATGAATAACTCAGTTACAAAAAACATAAATGTAATCAATTTTTATTCTTGAAGCATATGTTAACTTGCCGAACACAAACAACAATAATTTACAGTTATAAATTCGTCATAACATATACCTTTGACGTGTAAATATGTGTATGCATTTTCATTTCAACATATTCCATGTACAGTTAATGGAAGTCATTTTAAGTTGCATATTCATATGGAATGGATTCACTATAGGCGATCCAGCCATCGTATCATATCAAATAGTATCACAGCGAAACCTGGTTTAACTCGAGATGTCGTTCAAGAATGTATAGTTGTGATCTTTGAGAATACTGATCAACATCATTGATGTTATATAGTACATCGCTTGTATCGAACTTTGGATAACTCGAAATATTTGTAAAGGTCGGGTAGACTTCGAGTTAACAGGGTTTCAGTATGTATATATCACCTGGAAGATTATATGTATGCACATATTAATGTGTATTTATGTTAAACAAGTAGTGCACGACTATACCTGTATCCTAACCCTACCATAATCATAAGGAAAATTAACTGACAACCTCGAGTTCTGTTTCTATGTATCTGTAGCTGCTGTCTAACTGAACCACCAAATATAAAGGGATATTTTGAAGGTTCGGTCACTCTCGTGTATTCGAAACATGCAACGTTAGTGGACGTCGGACGGTGGCGTCAAATTAATACTGGAAATACTCACTTTGGGTCGTCAGTTTCTGTTCAATCATGTCATAATATATACCTTCCTTTTCAGAGATCATCTTTTGTATGACTTGCATAAAACAAAGCACGTTTATAGCTCAGAAGGGACGTAATTCACGCATTTCGATGCTTATTACTAACACTAGTTTTTTCGCGATCACGCTGTGTCATCACGGATGAGTTCATACAATTTTTACCACTATTTCGCCTTTTACGCCCAGATAGTCCCGACTGATTGTTCTCTGGCTCGGACGGCGGGGTAGCCTAGTGGTCAAAGCTTTTGCTCGCAACGCCGAAGACCCGGGTTCGATTCCCGACATGGGTACAATGTGTGAAGCCCATTTCTTGCGTCCCCCGCCGTTGTATTGCTGGAATATTGCTAAAGGCGTCGTAAAACCCGACTCACCCACTCACTAAGGCTAGATCAGCATCATGGGTTTTCTACCCATAAGCTTAGAGAGATACATTCAGTCAAGGTATTGTAGTGTTGTAATGTTACTGGAGAACAAGGGGATTTCCACTGTGATATTTCTAGGCCACGTGTTACTTTAGGTTTTTCCGTCTTTGGGTGTCGCTCCATGGCTTCCCGTGAGTGCCTGCTGTCGACCCTAATATCTACAACTACTACTGAATTCGGCTGGTGCCACGTTAATGGTTTACAGGATAGGTCTCAAAACTTCTAGGATCTTCTAGGATCCTGATCGCCACACCATACAACAGAATGTCTAAATATGTTCATGTAAAACTGAAAGTCAAATGTTACGTGATTCAATCGCATTTCATTCAGCTACGTGTTCATCCACTGTGTCTGTTCAACTATATCTCCAGACGCATATACTGATATCCGTCATCTGAGGAAAATCGTAGAAAGTTAACTTCCTCACAATATCAAATACATAATGCAGCAGTATTCAAGCATGGGTTAACAAATCAAACGCGGTTACGTCCCTTTGTATGTGTCATTAATATGTGATGTTAGAAGGTAGACATTTAACTTGCATTGCATGATCTATGTCTTAGTCTGTCTCTTGTTCCTCCTCAGCGGATTTCTATGGCTATGAGGCTTTCTTCATGGATGAGGCAAATGGACCACTCGTGGTTCATCCCAAATATATTGTAACTCTAGTCAATGGCGCTCGTCTTCAAAGAGGAAAGATCGGTAATGCTGCCTCCCTGATGAGAGGGGGGCAGTACGTGGACCTGGGACCCCACAAGGACAAGTGCATGGGTAACCTTGTCCTCTGCAAGCACGGGATGACAATGACCTTCTGGATTAGGCCAAGGAATCTGCGCGAGGGGGACGTGTTCCTGTCAAGCCCAACATACTCCGTGTACTACCACAACAGAGAACTGGTCAGCAAGTTCATGACTCCCGAGAAATCTTGGACCGTATCCACTCCTGGTCTGGCGAGGAACAGGTGGCAGAGAGTTACCCTTTCCTGGCATCCCGTTAAGGGTCTGAAGATGTTCCTGGACGACAAGGAGGTGGACAGCGCTGTTGGAGTTGAGGAGGCTCAGGGAGATGCTCCAGTTGGCACCAACATCTTCATTGGCAAGGCTCTGGATGATAAAAACCCAACAAACACTGCAGATATCATGATGGATGAACTCCAGATATGGGATGATGACATTGATCAACTTAGGAATTCGGGGTTGTATGGAGGTGAGATTCAATAAAGCATCCAGCAGGTCTGTTACCCTTGGTTCACAAGGTTCGACTCCACTTTTGTCTGGATTTGAAGCACTGTAGAAGTCACCCAAACAATTCACCCTTCCCTCGCTTCCCCAGAGGTCTTGATGTAATCCCCGCTCCCTCTTATTGGTACACATACGACTGTCGTAAATGCTATACCCCACATGACCTCTTTCCAATTCTTGAACACGCCTTCTCTCTATTGATTCATGGATGCCAATTTGTGCAAGTCCAAGTGTGCCAAGTCTAGTAGCTAAAATATCTTGATCCCTATAGCTTGCAAGTTTGCAATGACCTTTACTCTTTTACTATTTTCATCCTTTAGAAACTCATGCGTTTCTTTTTTATCATTCGCCACGAAGTCTCCATGTATTTATGTCGTCACCTGCATGTTAGCCGTTAAAAGATGTCCATCAATGTGCATATACCATTGATTGTTTGCATGTTAAATCGAAATATTCAATCACAAAATTTAACTGAAAAGTCTGCACGACGTTGATGTTCTAAGCATTCATCGTTGATATCTATCTCACTCACGGGGAGGGGGTGCACCGGACTAAATGTAGCGACACATGTACCTGTGCGTCCAGTATTTTTGTTTCATCATGTCTTTTGGGTTCACCACGTACCAATGTCAAATATTGGATGCAATGCATGTATGTCAAATATTTCGAGACAAATTTGTATCTTATTACAATGGTACTAAACATCACTTTTTATGATGAGGAGGCCTTAGGTGGAATATGATTTTAAAATATAATGTGTAATGATGACCTTGCTCTGTTATCAGTTGCTCCTAAGGAAACACGTATTGACCTGTCCCAGTACAGAGGCGGATACATATATCTAGACGGACGTACCATCCGAGGATACGGCGGAATCCAAACTGTTGATGGTCGTGGTGCTCCTTCTCTGAGGTTAAATGGCAACCAACAGTACCTGGATCTTGGTTCCAACTTCACATGTGCGGGTGACTTGGAGACCTGCAGACAGGGTGCTACAATTCGGTTTGCAGTACGACCCAACCGTCTAAGGAATGGAATGTACTTCATCGATAGTTTCCCTGTGACTGTGTATTACCGGGACGGTCGTTTAAACGCAGAAATGCAGACACCGGACAGAAAATGGGAAGTATCTGCAGAAGGCTTCGACCAAGGGAAGTGGCAGGAGGTTGATCTGTCTTGGCATCCAACGTATGGTCTAACGATGTACCTTAACGGACAGAGGGTTGCTTCTCAGAGAGTCCCGACCTTCAGAGCACCTGTGACTAACCGCGAACACAGGACTTTCTTTGGGGGCCCGCTCGTGCCAGGTCAAGACAGGACCTACGTGAACGCTGTCCTGGAGGATCTGGAGGTGTGGAACTCTAGGAGGGAGACTATCCCCGTCTATGTTGCTCCTGTCAGACCGACGCGTGCACCAGTCACCCAGAGGCCAACTTTGCCACCCCGGCGGACTTTGCCACCCCGACGCACCCTGCCACCCCGTAGAACCCCTTCGCCACGTAAGTACAAATATTTGCATTTTTAGAAGTTAATTACGTGTGAAACCCACAGAAAAAAAAAGTTTGGAGGAAATCCCTACTGACAAACTAAAACTTATATTGAGGGCGAATCTGGGATTCGAACACACGATTATGGGATTCTGACACGTTGAATGGATGCAGCTCACGACTATGGGATTCTATCACGTCGAATGGATGCAGCACTGCATAGAGAAGACGTCCCTAAGACACCTGCCACCATCTTGCATTGTACAGTTTGTGAACACTCTATGCATTGTACATATACTTCTGTTGTGAATATATTTTAGCTTTGTATCCATTTACATTCTATTTTATTAGGTTTTCCCAGACTACCGAAAATGGAAATAAGTAAATATATAAATTAATATATACCTAGCTTCTTTTGAAATCTAGAAATTAATCTTATTGTTAAATGATATACTGCTAGATTTCTTTATTTCTATTTGCTTTGTGTTTTTGCTTGTAATTATTATGCGATTTTATCATTTTAGTATAGAGTTACATCCGAATTTAAGTGTAGAAAGTGTGATGAATTCTCTTACAGTTAGACCGCCTCCGTGGTCTAGTGGTAGAGCGTCCGCCCGGAGAGCAGAAGGTCCGGGGTTCGATCCCGGCCGCGTCATACAAAAAGACGTTAAAAGATTGTACTTGTTGTTACCATGTCTGGCGCTCGGCATTAAGGGGCTAAAACAAGGACTGGTCGGCTCGGAGTCAGTATACTGTGTCTGAGTGGGGTATTCATGTTATACTGCGGCATGGTATCTCAGTGACCTAGCACTATAAATCGGCATCAGTCCGGACTAGTACAAGCAGCCACACACACACATACACACACGTGCATGCACGTCGCTATATAAGTGCAATAATCTTGGACGCGACGTTAAACCCCATTTCACCTCACCTCACCTCTTATAGTTACAACAGATCTGCTGAGCCACTCACACTTGAAACAAACGTTTACGCTTCCACTACCACAGAACGCATAGTTGTCGACTAATAGTTTCATTTGTAACAAATTCATCATTTTTGTAAAAATTTCTCAATTGTCAATCGCCGTTTCATTTAGGTTCTCCTTTCAACTTTTGGAAAGAGGAATGTTTTCCGTTTATGTCAGTCTCGTAGATTCTCATATTTGTTGCGTCAGTTATATTCTTCCTCCACTGTGAGGGTATATTGTTTCTTATGTGTACATGGTCAAGAACTGCCCCCTTCAGTATGACAAAGTCCTGTTTGGCCACTTAAGAGTAAAAATGATGTTAAATGTTTCTCTATGAGATCGTGCTTCTTCATATAACCAATCTTTTATGATATATTAACAAACATTCGGTAAATTGATGGTTCAGCCTTAATGTCAGAATCCCACTTATAATGTTGTGGTCTTTAGAGTTTATGGTTTTTTCACGAACACCTGGTGTCATCACTAATTTTAAGTGATCTATTCATTTAATTTGCACCTCATTTAATATGTTTCCTCCAAAGGAATCTGTTTCCACCGATAATCGAGATTCTTTATTTTCTGGCATTGACGTTTCATATGGGTATAATATCATCCCAAGGTGTGCAAAACTTCTTCCAAAAGCGATTGTCTACCTGCATATCTTAATGTTTGCTCGAAGCTGACAGCAGCTTACACGATGAGCAATGAGGCTGGAGAATGATTAGTTTGCAAGTCGCACGTCAAACATGGTAATTTAAGAGATCCTGTTGTACGTTTTGTTTTCTTTATACTTCCGAACAAGCTTAGGTCATTTTGTTTTATATGCCTTATTGTTTTACACTAAGAAGTACGATATTTTATTTAAATACTTTATTATCGATAGCGGTGTTTAAACTTTTCCATCTAAAAGTTGCAGTGTCATTGCAAATTGTCCAAGTTTATGTTCAGTGTTGTTTAAATGGGCCTAGTACCTCAACTTCTAAAATAAACAATAAAGGCAATAACTGGTTCTAGATCCTCGTTCATTTGTGAAGAAAGGCGAGAGATTTGTGTTAAACTTGAACTTATAGGTCGAGACTCACATATTTGGATGCCCGGTTCGAAGCTGTATTTTATAGTCGACGAAATCAGTTGCTTTGAGACTGTGTCAAATGCTCTCTGTTTCGGCTTATATTTGAGACTGGTTATTCTGTGGCATGGCCTTTTGAGTTCTCAAACATTATAAATACTGTCAAACCTGCTACGCGATTTCTCCTTTCTTATTTTACGTCACGTCACCAATACATCGTCCTGAAATTAACTCCCGTTTAATTTTCATGGATCAAGTGTTGAATTTTAGCTGTGAAAAATAAATATTCATTATGTTATACATGGGGTTGACATTGGTCTCCTTTTCCTGTCTCTTTCTGCTCTGGGGATTAATCCGGCTCTGGTTTAGTATGTCATGTATAGTGCTTATAGTTCCGATTTTCTAAATGACAACAATAGGTTCTCACCCGCTTGGTACCGGTTACCATAAACCGATTTACTAATGGTGTGAAGGCTTTCTTTCTTCTAAAATTTCTAACTTTAGAATCTAATATTGTGATTTTTACTTTTGCCTTATTTTAAATAGGAAGCAGTCAAGACTGGTTATTCTCTTGCATTGACAATTTCGATTTATCTCTTAGTTAAATTTTCTCAATTTCAATCATATCATTGCTTTCAGATTTTGTCTTCCAATCCTCACAAATGATATATGAATCGTTTTCAGAAACATAAATATTTGTAACCAATCTGTTAAACACACTAGCTGGGGTCGTCACTGTTACATTAAGGTCCATATACGTTTATAACAATGAGTTATAATACGTCAGTGTTATATGAATAACTGTATTTCCTGTATCGACTATTTTCGCTCTGTTAATATTAGTTTTACAAGTATTGTTGATTAGTATTGTATTCCAAAAAAAACCAAAAAAACATGTAAACAAACAAAAGAGGTTGACGCACTCTTTGTTTCACATGACAAAAGTGGCTTCTGAAAAATAAGGACAACGTCTTGAAGAAGTGAATATTTCCCGTCATATCTCATCGTACTGTAGGAGCATAAATTGTGTGAACAGCTACATATTCCTGTGGTTATGATTAATGATGTACTGTGAACTATGTATCGTATTACGCTTTACAGAACAGTATAACCATTTTACTGCGGACGTTTGGGTAGACGCAGATATTTTAGAAAACACTTATCAACAATGAAAACATTAGTTCCATAAACGACACGTACACGATGTCACGTGTGCAACATTCATTACTTGAAACATCCCTACTTCTATGTAAGTAGCACCGGAATAGAACATCGGTCAGCCCAGCCAGGCGCTGTTCACTAACTACCGCATTCGCACAGTCACAAAAATGGTATTTAACATACATACGCCACAGTGTTTTCTTAACTTAGTATGAGACCACAAGCCCTATACCATATCAAGTCAGCTGACGTACCTGCCCTTCTGTCTTACTGACAGCGTATTGGAGGCATATGGTTCTGAGGATGAGAGTTCCTAAAGGGAGGTAACCTTTCGAGCAGCTATGTCATGAGCACAGGAAGTAGGCCATTGATGCATGTGTAAAGCTAAAGGGGCGTGTTCGTTTCTGATCTTCGATCGCGGTACATTCTTTGAATCTGCTAGACTCTAAAAAGGCAGCTCCAGCTAAAATTGGTTACATTGTTCTACAAATCCGGGTATCAGTTCACATGGGCGGTATTAATACCGGCGTACGTTATCTATAAAAGAAAAAAATAATATGAAATATAGTTTAATGCTGTCAGTCTACATTTACTGTTCCAAAACGAATTGTATTACCCTTTCTAAAGCCACACGGTAAATCCGTTCTGATGCTGTACGAGGTGTAATTAGTGTACTCCGGTTACGTTTAAACTTCTTGGAAGAATGACTCCGGAAGTCACAGTTGAGAGTAAACAAATGCGCCCATTTCGACGGTACTCGAGGAAGAGGTATCCCATGTCGGCAACAGTCATTGCGTTGCCATGGGAACCAAACTAACCATGCCTGAGGCTTATAAATACCTACAAGAAAAACTAGGTATGAGTGGCACGACCGGTGGTTCGGCACGTGGGAGGTTTCATAGACATCACCTAACTGTGTAGCATTATCATGAGTAACGTCTTTATCCGTCCAGTGGATAAACATATGCTATCTGAGGTATATACTTCCCTTTACCTTAATCCTGTGGCGCTGGTATAACGTCATCGTATTTTTTACACTATACATTATTCTTACCGAACGAACATGGTTTGTGATTGTTTTGGGTCAGGCTTAAAACAAATACTTACTTTTTTTAAAAATTTACGTAAATTGTGTGAGTATCGGATGCAACCGGTAGGACAGGACATGCTTATCCTTTTTGCGAACACCTGGTTTCATCACTGATTTTCAGTGATCCATTCATATAATTAATACCGCTATTTTGCCTTCTAAGCCAAATTGAATCTGTTTCGGCAGATAATCGAGACTGGTTATTGTCTGGTGTTGACGTTTTATGTGTGTGCCCACTTTGCACTATTTCCTATATAACCTGAGGGTTATTCATATTCGTATAACTGCCCCGCAAAGTGAAACAGGTTCAAACAAATTGAAAGTGTCAAATTCATAGAAACGTATGTACGAACGAATAATTGAACCCTTCCTAAGACACCGGGTGTCGTAAAATAAGATGCAGTTGATGATGATGACAGCGGGTCCGCTACATTGTAAACACTATTGTCAGATGATAGACTTCGACTGTATAAAACCTGAGTGGACTTCATCGCCAACATAAATAATATCATATATTTGGTATTTAGTGGTGAAATAGTTATTTATCTGAAAAAGGATGGATATTTCAATTGAGTGAACTTTATAACGGAACTAGTCCCCTTCTGCTTGATTGGAACCATGCGAAGACATGTAGCCTTGCTTAACAAGTAAGGGTTGCATACTTCCAAAAGAGCTGAAAATTAGAATAGTGAGTGAGTGGGTATGGTTTTACGCCGCTTTAAGCAATATTCCAGCAATATCACGGCGGGGGACACCAGAAATGGGCTTCACACATTGTACCCATGTCGGGAATCGAACCCGGGTCTTCGGCGTGACGAGCAAACGCTTTAACCACTAGGCTACCCGACCGCCCCGAAAATTGGAATAGAACTGATCCGTTGTCCGGGGTAATAATACCTGGATCTCTGAGCTTAGCACTATGAGCAATCACTTGGGAATTAAGGGCATCAGTAAATCACTTATCTATCAATAATATTTATCAGAAAATGCATTATTAATATAAAAAAAACCCATTTATTTGGTCAAATAACATCAATCAAGTTTATTCGCCAAACCACCAATAATAATACATGTGTAATAGTATATACATA